GGGGCAGAGAATAAGTGTCTTCCTTTAGGCTGGGGTAGAAGAAAGGGCATGGGGTGGAGGGGGGTGTTGCTAATTCACAGAATTGGAATTTACTGGCGGTAAAGTCCTGGGTGAAGACCTCTCTCTTAAAGCCTGAGATAGCAGGGTGCAGCCTTCAGACACGGCGCAGGCCGAGTTCCTCAGCCTCTCCCTGTGGTCCGACATCTTGGCGCCCCCATCGGGGTGCTGCGCCAGATCCCTGAGGCACTGGGTCAGAAGCACACAGGCTGACACCATGCTCATGGTACCACCCAGGATGGCGGTCTGCACCGCCTTGCCCTCTGCGCTCACAGCGGCCGCGCGACCCAGGAACTGCGGCTCAGTGGCAAAGCCCACCAGTGCGCTCACAGCCTGCACCAGGGGCCCACTGAAGAGCGCGCAGCGGCTGCGCGCCAGTTCACTGGGTGCCACCTTCACCTCCCTTGCAAGCCAGCAGCGCCTATGCACTGGTGCTCATGCACTTGACGCCCAGCTTGAACTGCTCGCGTGAAAAGCGGTCCCGTGACTTGTCACTGGCTAGGGCGCATGCGTCCGTCAGGAATTTGAGGTTGCGCGACAGGCCCTGCGACACCTCCAGCAGCAGCTGCGGGGTCATATCAGCCAGTGGGGTGGCTCTTAGCACCGCGCAGCCCTGCTCCACCTCGCGGCGACAGCGTGTCACGCGGTAGCGATCCACTAGGCCAGGCTGAGCAGGCTGTGCGCCTGGGGTGGCCACTGCAGCCAGATAGGCGGCGTGGGCTGAGCACTCGGTCAGCGACACCACCAGGTCGCCCAGCTCCACTAGACTGTCCCCAGCCTCTCCAAATCGRCCCATGTTAAGCTGGCTTTGCACATCATGGGTGAGAATGGAGAACCCCTTGGTGCGCGCAGTGATGGTGTCCTGGCACTGCTCAAAGGACTCCGCACTAGCACAAGAGGAGGCGGGGCCCTCGAAGAGCACTGGCCGGGCCTCGCTGGACAGTAGTAGCAGGTCGGCCACCAGCTGCATCTTGCCTTTGCAGTGGTCGCAGACCGACACCAGCCTCTTCCGTGGCTGCGAGCTGGCCGCACCGACGGCGCTCACAGGAGCCGGAGAAGCCGCCTCGCCAGTGGGCTTCCCAGCGCTGCCGCTAGCCATCGCTCCCAGGGGGCACTGGCATGCCGCTGGGGAGCCCGCTACCACCGCCGCTGCCGCCGCCCCCGCGACTCAGCTGGCCAAGGCCGCGGTGCCTTCCCCGCACCATCATGCCATCCACCGCCGCGGGTAGAGGGCACTGGGCTGCGGCGGCCGGAGCCCGGGCAGC